GATGGTTTCCATATATCATCACCTTCATAGATAACATCGCTCTTTCCATCGTTAATTACAGAACTGTCGTTCTTAAGTCCCTCTGAGGAGTTTCACCCACAATATAAAAACAGCTCTATTTCTCCTCCCAGACTTAAGTCCTCCGACAGAACTTCCCAATATGGCGACGGCATTTTTAACTGCGTCATTCCAAAGCTCTTATACATTCTACGCTCTTCTTAAAACATGCTTTGGTTCGAAAGTTTATCTCCACACAGCCTTAAATCCACAGCTTGATGTCCTTAAAACGACATTTCTGACTTGTGAGGGGAGGGGATTCTTGTTTAATCACATAAGGAAAGAAGGAAAGGTTTTTTTCCCCTCCCCCATCAGTCATCAGTCCCTTTACTATACCGAGTCTTGGCGTATCTTCTCATAATCTATACTTGTTCCTCCCACTCGTCTTGTTTTATCAGAGATCTCTTCTGTTAGCAGTCTTTACTCCCCCTCCTTCCTTGAAATATGTGCATTCGCTTCATCCAAATTGTTTCTTTTGAAGTTCTTGCAGCTAGTGGCGCGGATCAGAGACGGAGTCCAGGAGCGCCAAAATCCCACAGGAGGGCTTTGTGCCTAGTGCCCCCATCCCCAGAAATTCGGGGGTGGTATAGGGCACAGCAGGCAAGGGCAGTCCCCCCACCATCGGGGGGGGTGTAGGGAGGCTAATTACTCCCATCATAGCCTCCAAATTACCTCGTGTGGGTCGGAGAGATGTTATTGTCAGGCATCTTCTGATGCGCCCCCTAGTGGCCCTGAGTTGCATTTTCCAGCAACTCAGAAGCATTGCTGCCTTGAACTGTGGAGGCAGAGCACAGCCATCGTGGCTAGCAGCCATTGATAGCCTTCCATGAATTTGTCTAACCATCTTTTAAAGCCATCTAGGTTAGTGGCCATCACTGCCTCCAGTGCAAGTGAGTTCCCCAGACTATTTGCTACATGAAGGACTTCCTTTGGTGTGTCTTGAATCGTCCAACATTCAGCTTCAACATGCACCAACAGCCCCATGTGGAGAGAGACTGGCAGAGAAGCTGGCACCATGTTTAGAGTGCGGGTGGGTTGGCCTTCCAGAGAAAAATGGAAGCAATCACAGGGAGCAAAGATTCTCTTTACCATCAACCACAAGAGGATCAGACAATCTCTGTTCCACTTGAAAAAGGGGATGGAGCAATTCTTGTCTCCCAGCTCAGCACATCACATCCTCCCTAACAGCTGCAACTCTTCCACACAGCTTACTTCCCCCAAGGAAAGGTTCTGCAAATGCACTTTTTCATCGTTGCACCTCCTGCAATGCAGGCAAGAATTTCCCTAGGTTTACAGATAAAAGAGCACATACTTTCTATTGCATTGCCTCCACAAATGCTGCTTTGGGAGCAGGAAAGGGCTGTGATCCAGCCTCCCCCCACCTTGCAGTCCTTTTGTCCAGGGAAGTCAGGGTTTTCAAGATGTTCCGGATTGATTTCAGAGCTAAAAAGATCATGAGGAGGAAGGAGTTTCTGGTCACTTAAGCCGCTCACTTTATTCCCAAGAGGCCCTAACGGAACCTGGCCTCTTTTGAAAAAGAGTAAAGGAAACAGAGAAAGAGAGAGAGAGAGAGAGAGGCGGCGGGGAGAAAGAGAGTGTGAATGCTTCAACATGCATGTGAGAAAGCAAAAGCAAACCCACACACAATTACCCACAACCAGCAGCTTGCACTCAGAACCCTCCTGTCTTCACCTTCCTTGCATTCTGCCTCTGCCTGCATGTTCAGCTTTGAGTGCCTTGAAAATGGGCAATGAGCAGATTTTATAAAAAGGTCCCCATCGGAGAGAAAATTGACAGCCATAAAAGTTTCATTGCTTGTACATTTGGAGAGGGAGGAAACAGCTCAGTTCATTTGGGGGAAGGAAAGGCAGCCACCATATTTTATTAATGTCGCTTTAATGGAATTCTTTCAAGATAGAGCAAACACAAGTTTCACTGCTTCACAGTGAGTTTCGTAGAGGCAGATGGGGCTGAGCTGGCTCTGCCATTGGGCAGAAGGGGCAACTCTCCTCGGCAGAGGATTTGATGTGCAGCAAGGGTTTGCTTGCTTGCTTGCTTGCTTGCTTAATTGAAACCTCCAAAGAGATGTGATTGTAGCATTTTCTGCTGCTTCAGGTGTCCAAATAACTTGGTTGGGCTTGCACCCTGAGCAGGGCGAAGAGGCACCATTTGCTGTTTCCACTCCCTGATCCAGGCAGCAAAGTGTCCTGGCTAGTACTGTATTAAAGCCCATGAAAGATTAACAGTGCGATCCTCCAGATGTCTACTCTGAAGTAAGCTCCCTTGAGCTCACTGCAATTTACTCCCAGGTGAGCAGATGTAGGATTGTGGTCTCAGCTGGGTTGCAAACATCCGTTAAATGCCCTGCACTTTAAAAAGGCAGCAAGAATGGGGTATCTTTGAAATGTTCTCACCAATGCCGCCACTCCAAGTGTTCTCTTTCAGGTGGGTGAAGAAGGAAGAGAATATTGGCTTCCATGGCAAATTTAGTATATACCAGGGTACTGCTTTTCCTTTCTGCTGAGTAATCCTGATCTCCATTTGGAGCTCAGTAGGAAAGCAAATAGGGGCAGGGCAGCTGTGCCTGCCACTTTATGTGCCAAGAGCCCGGCCAGTTTCCTTTCCTGTCCAAAAATATGTGGCTAGCTGCCAGAAGCAGGTGGCTTGCCAAAAATAAAAGATGTCCGAAATGCCCTCAAAGCCCTGGAGAAAAGGTTAGGGCAGTTTCCAAAGCTCCTTTACTGTCAAGGGTCGGAGGACAGCAGACATGGGGGGCTAGCCCTCCTCGGGGGCAAAACTAGACTTTATTTCAGCTGGGTCAAAGATCCAGTTTGCCCCTCCCATGCACATTTGGGACGCAGGTGGCGCTGTGGATAAAACCTCAGTGCCTAGGACTTGCTGATCGCAAGGTCGGCGGTTCGAATCCCCGCGGCGGGGTGAGCTCCCGTTGTTCGGTCCCAGCTCCTGCCCACCTAGCAGTTCGAAAGCACCCCTAAGTGCAAGTAGATAAATAGGTACCGCTTTATAGCGGGAAGGTAAACGGCATTTCCGTGTGCTGCGGTGGTGCTGGCTCGCCAGCTGCAGCTTCGTCACGCTGGCCACGTGACCCGGAAGTGTCTTCGGGCGGCGCTGGTTCACGGCCTCTTGAGCGAGATGAGCACGCAACCCTAGAGTCGGTCACGACTGGCCCGTATGGGCAGGGGTACCTTTACCTTTACATGCACATTTGTGTGTACACACACGCAGGCTGGGAGCCTCAATGGTGCCCCTTTGGAGGCTTCACCTGGGGCAAAAAAACCTGGATAACCACCCCCCCTCCCCATAGCTATGGCTCTGCCCTCCTCAATGCTGAATCCCTCCATCCACTGTGGCTTCTCATACAAACCTAGGCTACCTGCTTACTCAGAAGTAAACCCCATAGTTTCCAGCTGGGTGTATTTTGCAAGTAAGAATTTGTAGCCTTAATAAGCAGGCTATAAATCATGCACAGACAAGAACTACCGTTGACTGTAAGCAGATGACGGTTGTCAAGCGGTGTGACGGGCACCCGGCGGTAGAGTGTAGCAAAGCCCTCTTTGACCAGAGCAGGAGGAGGGCAAGGCTGACAAGAGATGCTCGCTGTCTCCCCTCCCCCTCCCATTGTTATTAAGCATTTATGAAGCACGCACAGTGTTCAATACATACACACACACACACACACACACACACACACATGCATTGTAATGAACTTGATTGGGAAGTCTGTGCCATCATCTGTCCACACAGGACAGATTCACCACCACAGGCAGGAATGCTAATTAAAGCAAATCACAGAACGCTCATTTATGCGAGATGCACCAAGATCCTTCCAGATATTTTGAGTCCCTGCTTAGACCTCCCTTTTACGCACAAAATTCACACCTAATGCAGCTGTTGCATCTTCCACCACGCTGGAGGCACCTGAATGAGTAAGCAGCTTGATTCCCACAGAAGCAAAGGCCCTACTTTGGATTACTCCCTCCCCCCGGGGGGTGACTATTGCAAACTGCAAAACAGACGAACGAACCCTGTCCAACGTCAAACAGACACCAACTCTCTCCTGCAACACTTGCCTGACTCTTCCAGAGAGTGCTCTCCCCCATCCATCTTGCAGGAAGAATAATAGAATTGCAGAATCAGAAGGGACCATGAGGGTCATCTAGTCCAACCCCCTGCAAACTAAGGAATCTTTTGCCTGGTTGAAATGTAATTTGGCCTAAATTCATTGAGTTTTCTTTAGGAAGTTCGTCAGCTTGAGGTGCTTCACATTCAGCCGTGCCAGATTTTAAGAAGAGCTTAAATGAATTTGTGAAGGAGGTATATTTACCATGAAACTTTCAAACTCAATTTCATTTGGAATTTTTTTTAGCATGCTTTGTCTCAAGTATGCTACAGTTTCACCAGAACAAAGGAATCAAGTGGCCTGCTCAGCCAAAGGACCTACAGCCTCTCTTGAAAGTATTTATCTACACAGCTGGGACCAATTACTTGCTTTGGGGGTGGAGCTATGCAAAACAAGGATCCCTCTTCTGTGATTGGACCAAAACAGAGGCAGGAGAAAGTTGGCAGCTTGCAAGGTTCCCTGAAAATCAAATGGGGGTGGGTGTTCACCCTTCTTTCCTCCCAGGTGGCCCAACATGGAATGCAGGTGGGATCTCTATGCATGCTGGCCTCTGAGAAGAGAATGAAATTTTGCATTGAAAATATCAGTCCTGAAACCCATTTTCAGCAGTAGAGCTCAGCCCATGAATCATGGGGTGCTTTGTGCATGTGCAGAGTACTATTAGGAAGCTGCGTTATCCCATGACAGCAGGTCTCTGGGGTTTCACATGGAGAGTCTCTCCAAACTATCCGTGGAGATGCTGTTGAGGACTGAACCTGCAAGACAAGTGCTCTAACCCAGGCATCCCCAGACTCAGCCCTCCAGATGTTTTGGGACTACAACTCCCATCATCCCTAGCAAACAGGACCAGTGGTCAGGAATGATGGGAGTTGTAGTCCCAAAACATCTGGAGGGCGGAGTATGGGGGTACCTGCTCTAACCACTGAGCCCTTTTTTCTCAAAGGGGTTGCCGCAACCATTCCTCACATCTCCAGGTGAAAAGATTCCAGGTGTGCCCTTCAAGACAAGCTGAACCCCCACTCCTGTCTCCTTTTAGAAGTTTGGTGTGATGAACCAACTGCCCCCCTCCCAACACCCACACCTTTTCTTTTCTTTTATAGTACAGAGGCTCATTTAATGAGATTTGTCTGAGCCATAAAAATATCAGAGCAATAAGAAGATTGGATAAAATTCCTCCTGCAAAGCCACATATGTCCGGGAGGCCTGCCCAGGAAGCTGCACAAATTTTCTCTGCCATTGGGCTGGATTTAGCCGTGACCACAAAAAGCTTCTTATAGCACACACAAAAAATGCCCATTAGTGGGTTTTGAAATCAATAGGAAGCAGAGCCCCCACGGCTGTAAAACAAGAAAATGATCCACGGAGCCCGCGATAGCACCTATTAAGCGTCAGCCCTCTTCCATCAACTCCTGTGGGAAAGAGCCTCCTGGCCATCAACAAGGGTGTTATAATTCCTCATGCATACGCCACATTAAAGAGAAAAAAAGCCAATCACTACTCAAAAAAGAGTGTTGCTCTTAGCAACAAGCCCCTTCCCCACCTGCCCGCCTTTCTGCCACAGCTCTCACCCTCCCGTTTGACTCTGGGCTCCAAAGGAAGCAACTCACACAAACAGCTTCTGCTTCAGCCCTACAGAGGCGATTAGAATATCATGTCACCTTGAGCTGACAAAATCTGACTGCAATTAGGATTAAGAGCAAAAAGGAAGAGGAAGGGAAGCTGCATTCAAAATGGAATTTCTGTCCAGGAAGCCAATTTGACTCTCCATGGATTTGTGGGCACAGCGATGGAATCTGCTCAAATCCTGGTTTGGCCAAGGAACTTTCTCTTGCTTCCTATTCTGTGCAAGGAAGAAATGTTGCAGCCTGGCCTTATCCCTGACATGATACCCCCTCTGTCCTGCCTCCAGTGCTGGGAGGCAGCAATGCTTCAGGATATCAGTTGCTCTTGTGCTCAAGTGCCTTCCAACTCTAAAATTCTAGGATTCTTTGTGTGCATGCACACACACACAAACAGTTCCCCCCAGCTAGTTAAGCAGGGAACAACCTTCCAGGCTGCTGGCCTGGCACAGGAACATGAGCTTGAGCCACAGACACTGCAAGTGACTGTCACCCTGACTGAAGGCACCTGACCAATTAGCAGGCAAGGCCAAAAGGCTTCCAGAGGTTTGCAAAGGGAGCTTTAATGAGGGCAAGAAAGGGACGCCTTGGAATTCACAGTGAGCAACAAGAGCACAGCAAGGGGCTCAGCAGCTGCCCAAAGGGGATTATGTCATTGTGATGGGTCTTTTTGTGCCTTACACGTGCTGTGACCAAAAACCCTCAGCTTGTGGAGCAGGCAGGAGAGCAAACCCTCCAAATGTCGCTATTTTCCTGATTTAGAGAAGCCATCCTGGTTTCTGATTTGAACCTGGAATGTCCCACTTTTCCTTAGGATGTCCCTATTTTCACTGGAGAAATGTTGGAGGGTATGGAGTTATCCGACCTCCAAGCCATCTGAAAGCAATCCAGTAAAGGGAAGATTTTTATGTTTGTGTGTATATATATATATATATATATATATATATATATATTTGGAATACAACCAATTTTGGGAGGAGGCCCCATTGGCAAAAGCGCACCTTGTGTTACAACCTATTTTGGTTTACAACCGAACCTCCGGAATGGATTGTGGTTGTAAACCAAGGTACCACGGTATAGGGAAGTTTTTTTAAAAAAATGTTGAATGTTTTTATATTTGTTGGAAGCTGCCGGAGTGGCTGGGGCAACCCAGTACGATGTGTGGGGTATAAGTAGTAAAATTATAATTATGGAATGGGATGTCCCTATTTTCATCGGAGAAATGTTGGAGAGCGTGGGAGAGGCCTCCGAAACCTGTTGCAAGGCCAGGGATCCAGGTCACTTCTTGATCAAGGGGAGCCTCCCAGTTCCTACTCCGCTTCTCTCTTCTCTTCTCTTCTCTTCTCTTCTCTTCTCTTCTCTTCTCTTCTCTTCCCTGCCATGCCCTCACCTCTCCCCTTCCCTCTGAGTATTAGGACTTCAGCCTTGGAAGACCCTGATGGCCCTTGGATGGAGGGCTCCTCTACCCACGTGGCTGTCTGAGCATCACCCAGTAGCAGGAATCACAGCCAGAAAGGTGCTCTTTGCTTTCACGGAGAAACATCATTGTGATGAAAATAGCATGAGCACATGGAGTGCAGCAAGGCTGGTGGCAGATCCACCCTACAGAAAATGTTTTTAGGTCATAGAATTATAGAAGGGACCCCAAGGGTTGTCTAGTCCAACCCCCTGCAATGCATATGCCTAAGCATGGAAGCACCCAGAAATGCCCCTGGAGACAAACAGGGCTGTGTGAATGAAGAACTGAGCTTCAAGGCTGGCAGGATCTGAAAGGGGCCATCATAGCTCTGTGGCAGAGCACTGGTTCTGCATGAGAAAGGTCCCAGCTTCAACCCACAACAGATATCTCCAGGAAGGGCTGGGAAATACTCGCACCTGAAAAACCCCGGAGAGCTATTTTGCTGCCAGTCAGTGTGGACGATACTAAGCTAGATGGACCAAAAGCTTGGTTCAGTATAAGGCACCTTCCAAAGTTCCTACCAGGGTTTCCCAAACTTGGGTCTTCAGCTGCTGCTGGATTACAACTCCCATCGTCCATATCTAGCAGGACCAGTGGTCAGGGATGATGGGGACCGTAGTCCCAAAACAGCTGGAGACCCAAATTTGGGAAACCCTGGTTCCTGCTATGGGAAAAGCCCATAGCTCAGTGGTAGAACATCTGCTTTGCATGCAGAACGACCCAGAATTCAATCTCTGAAAGCAGGGCTGGAAGAGGCTGCAGACTGAAAATCCTTCAGGGCTGCTGTAAGCCAGTGTCAATACACAATGCTGGGCTAGGTGGACTACTTGATAAAAGGCAGCTTCCTATATTCTGATGCTGAAGCACATCTATCCATCTATCTGTCTATCAAATTAACATTCCACCCTTTCTCCCAAGCCAGCAAGCACACCCATAATTTAGTTATTTTTTATTTTTATTTTTTTAAATGCATTCTTAAACAGTTACAAGATTCTTAAAACAGTTCCAGTTCATTTCAGGGGTTGCCAAGAATAGTTTCCTTCAGCCTGTTGATATCCCACGGAGGGGTCTATAGGGTTCTGCCCTGTCCCCAGCTGCTCTCAGGGATGTTGCAAGCCCCAGCCCCGCATTCCAAACTGATCTGCAAAGTTAATCGGCTCCCAGCCAGCTCTCCAAATTCCCAGTGCTGCTGTTAATTTATACAGGGGCGATCAGTGTACAGTACTTGTCACTTGACAGAGCAGGAAAAGAAAAGAGAAGAAAGGTCCTTTTTGACATGCCTCAACCAGAATTGGGCAAAGTGTGCCAGCCTGTGATGTAGCCCCTCTCAGAAGGCAGCTCAGGTCTCTGCGGGAGAAGGATATTTTAAAGCTGGGATACAAGTGCAGGGAAGAGAAAGGAGGATTGATCGGGGGGGGGAAGGATTTGTAGCCCTCTAAATGTTGTTGGATGACAGCTCACACTGCCCCAGGTCCTTTTGATGCTCCCAGAGGCCACCCCAGGGGTTTTTCCTGCCCCATCTGTATCCTTTGCCTTGGACCCTGTGCCAAGGCCACCTTCCTTCAGTTCAAGTGCACTGCCAGTCAGTGTTGGTGGATCATAAACCTTAGATTCCCAGCCTTCATTTAATAAGAAGTTGTTTCTAGTATGCGGTAGCAGCCATTGCAGCAGTGGGAGAGCTGGGAAGCAGGGTTCCCTCCAATGGCTCTGTTGTTACAGGCCAGACCCATCAGGCCTCCTCTCCCTGAACTGCCACCTGAGGGCAGCCGTTCCATCAGGCTGCCTCAGTGGGACAGACAGGAAGGAGCAGGGTCCATTGTATCAGCTTTGCTGAAAGCCCAGCTTCATCTTCCACCTCCTGCCCCTGAACAGGAACAACTGCTTGGAAACTGGCACCTGAGTTTTGATTTTCCTCTTCCCTCCCTGTCCCTTTCCCCTTGTGTGTCATGTTCTTTAAGACTGTAAGCCTGCAAGGTAAGTCCTGCCTTGTTTTGATGGTGTGTAAGTCACTCTGAAGGGACGTGGGTGGCGCTGTGGGTTAAACCACAGAGCCTAGGACTTGCCGATCAGAAGGTCGGCGGTTCAAATCCCCATGACGGGGTGAGCTCCCATTGCTCGGTCCCAGCTCCTGCCAACCTAGCAGTTCGAAAACACAACAAAGTGCAAGTAGATAAATAGATACTGTTCCAGCGGGAAGGTAAAACGGCGTTTCCGTGCGCTGCTCTGGTTTGCCAGAAGCGGTTTAGTCATGCCGGCCACATGACCCAGATGCTGTACACCGGCTCCCTTGGCCAATAAAGCGAGATGAGTGCCGCAACCCCAGAGTCGGTCACGACTGGACCTAATGGTCAGGGGTCCCTTTACCTTTTAAAGTCACTCTGGGAGACTTTTTGGCTGAAGTGTGGGGTACAAATGCTCTAAATAAATACATAAATTGAGATGTGCACCTCCATGGCAAGATTCACAGCAATTGCCCCTCCCCCCCAAAAGGATTCTGCTGGTAGTACAGGAAAGCAAACCATCCCAAGGGCTGGACTTGAAGCTCCGATTCCCATGCTTGGGTTTGTTTCCCCAAAGGGCAAGCCAGCCATGGGGTGGGACAGGGGCTGCTAAGGTGGCTGAATAATACAGGCTGGTGAGGGCTGTTTAACCCTTTCGCTCCAAACACTGTTGCCTTGACCAAAGTGCCTCTCCCCCCACCAACTGCTATTAGCTCCTTGGAAAGGGAGGGAAGAGATGGGGGGACCCTTTGCCCATCACTGGACTGTTTCTCGCCTCCATTGCAGCCTCCTCCTCGCCCTGTCCTGGGGCCATAAACCTCATTGTGGCTGAGCTGCTTTGCCAGCATCACCCCCAGAAGCCCCCAAGGAGGGGGCAAAGCATCTGCATTGCAGGGAGGTGGTCCCAGTATCAGCTGCGAATGGCACCTCCAAGTTGGGGCTTGGAAAGATTCCTTCCTGAAACCCCGGAATGCTGCTGCCAGTCAGTGTAAACGACACTGAGCTGCAAGAGCCCAACAATGGTCTGGCTTAGCATAAGGCAGCTGCCTGTGAGGAGGAGCTGCAAGCCGGAGCTTTGCATGGGAACTGGAAAGGGCAGGTTGCTGCCGCTGCCTCCCCGCTGCCTGACAAGGCAGCCGTGACCTTTTCCCCTTTTGTGGCACTTGCGAAATGGGTGGTGCCTTCCCTGCCATGCTCAGCAGACAAGCTGCTCCCAGCGTTCAGAGCCCTGCTGGTGCCATTTGCTCAAAGAGCCTTTTGTCAGCTTCAAAAGGCCCCAGCAGACACTGCTGGGGAGTGACACAGAATTGCCTGTTGGGGCAGGATAGTGCCAAGCAGTGGGGTGTGTGAGCAGGCTTCCCACGCAGCCACCCGGTGGGGCTGGAGCAGCACATCTTGACCCTCCCTCCCCCGGGCAGAGAGCGGGAATTGCCACTGCAAGTGGTGGTGGAGGGTGTGCCCAAGTGCCTCCGTTCAAAAAGAGAGCGGATTTCTTTGAGCATTTGTGCTCAGGCTCATTGCAGCAGCTCAGGCGGAGGCTGCAGCCCTGCCGCTTCCTGGAACACTCAACAGAATCATGCCAGGCAGCTGCATGGCCAAAAAATAAAAAATAAAAAGCAGCATCAGACGTAAGCTGTCAAACGGAGCAGCACTGGGCAGGCCATTGGCTTGTCTGGAAGGGCAGCCGGCCATCTGCAAGGAGGTAGGGGCTAGCTGGCCGGCTAGCAGCTTCTGTGTTTCTGTGTTAAGAGCCCTGGCCCACCCCTGGAGATGGACTTGGCATTGTGAAGATGACCTCCCATAGTTAAGCTATGGAACTCCCATAGTTAAACTATGGAACTCACTGCCACAGGAGGCAGTGATGACCACCAGCTTTAAAAGAGGATAAGACAAAACCATGGAGGAGGAGAGGGCTATCTACTAGCCACAATGGCTATGCTCTGCCCCAAAGTTGGAGGCAGGAATTATTCTGAATACCAGTTGTTGGAAACAGCAGGAGGAGAGAGAGAATGCTCTTGTGCTCAGGTCCTGCTTGTGGGTTTCCCACTGGGGCATCTGGCTGCCCACTGTGAGCAGAGAAGGCTGGACTGGGTGGGCCATTGGTGGCAGTAAGCTCATCATGTTTCTCATTGAAGTGCTAGGGCAGATGTTAAGTTTGAAGGCAGGTTTTAGTTTATCAAAGGTGGGGAGCATCCGTTGTTTGTCCTGACAGCAAACAGCCTTGGCCCAGCCTGACCAACCTACTGGGATGAAAACGGCTCCTGAGGTGGAGATCCTGCATTCAGCCTGGCTGCCATACCTCTTGTGCGGAGGCCTTGGATGAAATGAGGGAGGGGGGAGAGAGAGAGTTTCACAGGATGCAGCTGCAGCAGCAAGTTTAACACTTCCTCCTGCTCTACTGGGGGAGCTTAATTTCCGGAGAAAGTCAAGTTGCAAATGAGTTTGCAACCAGCCAGGAAAAGCACCTCCTTGTGCATTCCTGTTAATTCAAAGCACTGCCTGTTTGCCTCTCCACCTCAGCCGCTTCCTGGTCCCCGGACTTGGGAGGGCAGCATGAAGAGCCCCCAGCCCAGGTGCCCTGATGAGGCAGGAAAGGGGACAGACGGGGAGGATGTTTCCAACACTTTGCTAGGAAAAGCACAAAGCCCTGGTTCAGATGGAGACAGTCCGAGCACAAAGCTCTGTTGTGAGTTGCTCTTGTTCAGTGATGCTGCCCTCATTCCTTTTGTGAGCTGTCAGTAGGGAAGTGGGAGGCCTCCAGGATTGTTCTAAGTTGGGGGGAGGCAGGATGGAAGCATACAGACCATCTGGGAAGCCATCAGATTTGAAAGCTCTCCTCCTTCCCTGTAAGTAAGCAGGTAAAGAACTCAAGATGCAAGGCCATCTCTCATTTGCCCTAGTTCTAAGAGCAGGGCCTTCTTGGCTGCAGCTCCAGGGCAGGGAATCGCCTTCCACCAGCTGCAGGCCTGATTTCACCCTTTCTGTCAGAATCACTCAAGGTGGGTAACCTGTTCTGAATGCTGGAAGCTGCTCAGAGAGGATGGACACATGTCTCCTCTTGGTCAGTAGTCAGAGGGAAAGAGGGGCTGTGCTTCCTGCTGGGCACAGGTATATCAAACAAGCTGCACTCCCGACTCAGCCTGATATCCTCCTCGCATTCAGAAAATCTTTGTAGAATCATAAAATTGTAGAGCTGGAAGGGAGTCCCAAGGCTCATCAAGTCCAACGCCCTGCAATGCAGAGATCACAGCTAAAGAATCCATGACAGATGGCCATCCAACCTCTGTTTAAAATCTTCCAGTGATAGAGAGTCCACCAGCTTCTGTTCCACTGTCAAACAGCTCCTACCATCTGAAAGTTCTTCCTAAAGTTTAGTCAGAATCTTCTTCCCCATCATTTGAATCCATCGGTTTGATCCTACCCTCTGGAACAGCAGAAAACAAGCTTGCTCCACCTTCCATGTGGCAGACCTTCAGATATCTAAAGATGGTTCTCATATCACCTCTTCTCTTCTCCAGGATAAAAAGCCCCAACCCTCTCAACCTTTCCTCATTAAACTTGGTTTCCAGACCCTTAGACAAGAAACCATATGCAGACACAGCTCCTGTCCTCCCCCTGGTGCCTTGCTCAGGTGAGCCACTCAGGGGATTGCAAGCTCCTTGTTGCTCTACCTTCACTCAGCTCCTGCAACGGACCACCCCACCAAGGTGCCAGAAGGGCTGCCACATCATGCCCATGTGGCCCTTGTTTCTTTGAAGGTGGCAGCCAGTTCAGCATTTTCTTCTGCTCTAATGTCCAAAACTGAGAGGTAGCGGATAACCCTTCTCCACCTACACAGACACAGCACACTCTCTTCTGAGCTTCAGGCAGCCTCCCCTCCACCAGCTGGTGCCCACCAGATATCTTGGACTACAACTCCCATCATCCCCAGCTTCCACAAGCCACGGTGGATGAAGCTCATGGGAGACATACCCCAACAACCTCAGGAAGGCTTCTGTTTGAGGAAGGCTCAGGAGAAGATCATGGCTGGAGGGCGTCTTCTTCAGACAAGTGCAGCTGTTATCCTCACTCCCCCACCCCACCCCAATCCTCCTCCTCTTCTTCCTCCGAGCCCCTCCCCAGCCTCAGCCCAGCTGGTGGGGGAGGGCACTAATTAGTGGGGCACATCCCCTCCCCCTCCCCTAACCCCTCTGCATGTTGAGGAAAGAATCAATAATAGTGAATTAATGTCTGTTAACAACTAATAACCCTCCTCTCCCTTCCTTATTACTGAATGACCTCAAGCCAGCCATTAGTCTAACAGACGATGGGCATGTGTGTGGCATGGTTAATGATGCTGGACTGAACCCAGCGCCACCTCACTCATCCAGAACGGCCTCTGCTCCAGCCAGGCTGGGCACAGCAGGAGGAGGCCAGGAGGGCAGGATAAGCACAGCTGTTGCAAGGAGGGGGTGGCAGGGGGCCACCCCCATCAGTGCCAGGATCGGTCATTGCCCCCATGCATCCCAACAGCGGAGAGCAGGCCCTGTTGGGTGGTGCTTTAAGGTAGCACAAAGGAAGCTCCTGTAGGGCCAGAGTAACAAATAGGCAAAGTTGGGGAGTTGCCAAGGCTCGCTCACTTGTGGTGACCCCCTCTAGCAATTTTATTACTATTAAAACTTATTAGTAGCTTCTTGCCTAAAAAAAAAGTCTCAGCACAACTTACACTTAAAAGCATAAACCTAAATACATTGTACCATGCAGGGCAGGGGAAGAAAATTTCATACAAAAACATTAATCTGTTTTCATACAGGTAACTCCCAATTTACCACACGTTTAGGGACACAGGTGGCACTGTGGTCTAAACCACAGAGCCTAGGGCTTGCCAATCGGAAGGTCAGCAGTTCGAATCCCTGCAACAGGGTGAGCTCCTGTTCTTCAGTCCAGCTCCTGCCCACCTAGCAATTTGAAAGCACATCAAAGTGCAAGTAGATAAATAGATACCGCTCCAGCGGGAAGGTAAACGGCGTTTCCGTGCACTGTTCTGGTTCACCAGAAATGGCTTAGTCATGCTGGCCACATGACCCGGAAGCTGTCTGCGGACAAATGCCAGCTCCCTTGGCCTATAGAGCGAGATGAGTGCCGCAACCCCAGAGTCGTCCGCGACTGGACCTAACAGTCAGGGGTACCTTTACCTTTACCACATGTTTAAGTGAAATCACATATATATGAAACACCATTGAGAAAGCCTGCAAAGACCCCGTTCTGTTCCGTCCCTCTCCATTCCTCTCCTTTTTGTGGCATTTTCGGATCACTTTTGGGTTCGGCATGGTCGGGCACATATTAAGTGTGTGTGTTAGTAGGGAGTTGCCTGTATTTGGTCATAGCTCAGTCAGTAGAGCATGAGACTCTTAATCACAGAGTCATGGGTTCGAGCCGAGCATTGGGCAAAAGATTCCTGCAATGCAGGGGGCTGGACTAGATGACCCTTGTGGTCCCTTCCAACTCTACCATGCTATGATATGATAGGACAACATTCAACACACACACACCATGAGAGCCATAGAAAGCTTTGGCAGCACACTAACAATGAAACAGAATCAGCTCAGACCATCAAAGACCCGGGAGGGAGCACCAAAATGTCAGTGGAGGTGCCAGGCAGATCATGCCACAATCAGGGAGCCATAGCTGAGAAGGCCCTGCTCTCCTTTTGCATGCTACAGCTGCCTTCCCCTGACCCACCTGCAATCTAATTCACCCCTCCCTTGTTGTCTCTGCCCTGTTCTTCATATTCCCCTTGCCTTATGCTTTGGCCAGTTCCTCAAATTGGTCCAGTGAAAGGACTGCAGCAACAGCAGACGGGCCCACCCAGAGAAGGGGGGCCCTCGGGACACCTTGTCTAAGCCCCCACCCAACACACACACCCCAAAACACCCTGCAGCCCATACTGAACCCCACTGCAACTTAGTGGATCTATATCTGAAACATTATCTGCCACCATAAGAGCTAACTCCTCGTGGTCATGGGGACTTTGGCCTCCCACAATAAAATATTTGAGGGGGCTGGGCCCCCACAAAGTTGATGGGCATTCCCATTCAGTGGTGTGTGCGCACTGCATCATGTGATTGATTATGCGGGGTGGGGCTTACTCAATATTTTATTCAAGTTGGCACCCCTGCCTACCACACCAGTTGTGGCTCTCTCTCGAAAAACATTCTTCGGTGTGACCACATTTGGAAAACTGCTGAGACTGAGGACATTCCATACCGGCAAAGGCACATCCCGGGAGAATACGGCTCAGGCATAGCTGCTTCTGCCAGGGAGAACCAAGGAGCAAAATATTGATTGATTGATTGATTGATTGATTGATTGATTGATTGGATTGACTGACTGACACAGACACACACATGCTCTGCTGCACACAGCTCTTGAAGGCTCCTCCACCCGCAACTGCTCCAACACCCCCAACAATTCCTTGAACCTGGAGCCTCCCTCACCACAGACTAGAAACACCCTTCCTTTTTTGAAATAAAATGTATACTAAAATATAAACCCCATGGGGGCTACTGCTGCCATCTGGTGGAGGATGGAGGACACCCACCGCCTCCTCCTGAGTGCCAATGCCCACTACCACCAGATTCCTAGCCAAAGAGAGGGTGAGGATCGGACGCACCATTTCCCCCCATGAAGTCTGGCAGGCAGGAGGGAACACCTGAAGCCTCTTACCTGGGGCTGCGGAGAAAGAATGAATGCCCCTCCTCGGCTGCAGCCTCTTTCAGACTTCATTGATGGAGAGATTAATGCAAGTTATCAAGGCGTAGGGGTGGGGGAGGTTTTGGGGTTTTTTTTATCACGGCCATGTTTCCAAAACAAAGTGGAGGGTAGCTTTATTACTCAGCAAATAAATACCAGTTGCAGGTTTATTTTGCACACTTGGGAAGAGAGGAGGACGTGAGCAAAAATATTCAAAAAATAAAATAAAATGGATTCAATTCTACTTTAATTGACCTTTGATTCTCAGTGCAATGCCGCCTCCCCCCCCCCCCCATTCCACCACCGGCATGCTGTTGCTTCAGCCTTTAATTTCTTCTGGTAGAGCGGCTGCGTTCAATGATTCATTCTGTCCCGAGGCAAAGCACACACTGTAATTGCTTTTTAAGTTCCTGGAATGTCAGAGCCAGGATTGAAATTTTACGTATCACTCCTCCTCCCCCTCCAACCCACACCCCCCTCCCGCCGCCGCCGCCGCCAACCCCACAACTCCGCCGCCGCTGCCACCGCCACACAAATTCAACAGTGGCTTTAATAATAACATTGCAGAAAGAGAGAGGCAGATTTACAGCCCCAGAAAAATGTAATCAAATTTCCAGCCGGAAAGCAATAAGTCCAAATGCTGGTTTTCATTTGGAAGCTTGTTAGATCAATGCGGTTTCACCTGCGCGGCCCCCAAAATTGTTTCTCCCCTTTCTCTGCAACGCTGACTGGGGTGAAAAGCAACAGTTGGTAGCTGTGGGCAGGACTGGAGATGGGGGTGCTCAGAGAGCTCTCCGTGGGTCACCCGGTACAGCTGCCCCCAGCACAGAGAAACATGGGGAGGCGGGATGTTAGGTGTGTCTCTCCTTTTTACTGGCAGAGGAGAGCATCTTTAACAGTTGCATCACAGTGACAAGTCCAACAGGTTGAGCTTACTTACGCCCAGCATCACCACAGCAGGAAAAGCTGAAGTCCCAGATTGCAACGAGGGCAGTGATCCTTTGGCAGTAGATCAACCTTCCAGGGGGACGCAAAATGTGAAGCAAGCTTTGGACCCCTGGAACAAGCCACCAAACTGTAGGGTTCATTTCTTCTGCCTAACACTAGAACCCATGGACACCCAATGAAGCTGTGTAGGGAGATTCAGGACTTCCATCATGCAGCGCTTAGTTAAACTGTGGAACTCCCTCCCACAGGAGGCAGCGACGGATACCTTTCTAGATGGCTTTAAAAGAGGATTCGACAAATTCATGGAAGTGAGAGCTATTGATGGTTACTAGCCAGGATGGCTATGCTCAGCCTCCACGGATAGAGGCCGCAGCTCAGCGACAGAGCACCTCATTTGCATGCGAAAGGTCCCAGGTTCAGTGGCATCGCCAGGTATGAATCAAGGAGACCACTGCTTGTAATTCTGGGAAGCCTCTGCTACCAGTCAGTGTAGACCAGGGGTTGTCAACCTGGTCCCTACCGCCCACTAGTGGGCATTTCAGGATTCCAGGTGGGCGGTAGGGGGTTCTACGTCACAAGCTGAATCCTCCTTCCATCGAGCACTGGTGGGCGGTAATGAAATTTTACCATCAAGAGTTGTTGTTGTTTAGTCGTTTAGTCATGTCTGACTCTTCGTGACCCTGTGGACCAGAGCACGCCAGGCACTCCTGTCTTCCACTGCCTCCCGCAGTTTGGTCAAACTCATGATGGTAGCTTCGAGAACACTGTCCAACCATCTCGTCCTCCATCGTCCCCTTCTCCTTGTGCCCTCCATCTTTCCCAACATCAGGGTCTTTCCCAGGGAGTCTTCTCATGAGGTGGCCAAAGTATTGGAGCCTCAGCTTCAGGATACTCTAATTTAAATTTGCCCTTTATTCAGAATACTGAGGACTAGAATCTTTCTTTCCCTTTGGAAAGAAAGGGAAATTTTCTGGCATCTCTAGGTAGCACTGGGGAAAGTCTCCTGTCTGAAACCATGCAATGGCTGCTAGCCAGTGCAGACAATACTGAGCTAGATGGACCACAAGGGTCCAGTTTCCCTGTGGCCACCATTGCTCTGGTGACTGAGCAATGCAAATGCAAGTCCTGACCACAAAAAAGCATCCTCTTGGGAAAACAGAGTTGTGACTATTGGCTGGAGAACCCCACGCCCTGCTGGATTCGTTCCCGAGCTGGTGGCCAATCCTGAGCTAAATGTGCCGCCTGGGCTTGACTCTGTCAATAGCAGGCTATTCCTCCCAGCCAGCTGGCTCTTGAACTGCTTTTGGAGGCCACTGAACTTCCCCCATTAAACTCCGTCCTGGCAATAAGTCACTTACAAGCTGCTCCACGCAGTGCCGGCATTAATAGATAATCCATACGCTTGAAGGAGAGTCTATCACCAGCTCATTACCAAGGATAAATCATGGAGGAAATATTAAAATGCTTCAAGACTGTCATCCAGGCCCTGAGAGCGGCTGCCCAGAGCAGGCAACTCTTGCAGAGAGGAAGGTTATTTGCCTCCCCCTCCCTTCAAGCGCAGTGCCATTGAGGAGCTGGGGCTCCAACCCACGGAAGCAACAGTCTTGTCACTAGGAACATTGCCAGCAAAAGCTGACAGTCCCCTGCCCCCGCCTGGAAACGCTAGAGTTGCTTAAAAAATGACTCCGATCCCTGGAAAATTGACTTGTCTAGAATTTCAGGACAGAGGAGAGGAAGTCCTTCTTCACGCAGCACATACTTAAACTATGGAACTCACTTCCGCAGGAGGCAGTGATGGCCACCAACTCACCAAATGGCTTTGAAAGAGGATTAGACATTTTCATGAAGGAGAGGGCTGTCAATGGTGTAGTGGTTAAGAGCAGTAGTCTCGTAATCTGGTGAACCAGGTTCGCGTCTCCGCTCCTCCACATGCAGCTGCTGGGTGACCTTGGGCCAGTCACACTTCTCTGAAGTCTCTCAGCCTCACTCACCTCACAGAGTGTTTGTTGTCAGGGAGGAAGGGAAAGGAGAATGTTAGCAGCTTTGAGACTCCTTTTGGTAGTGATAAAGTGGGATATCAAATCCAAAACTCTTCTGTTCTTCTAGCCAGGATGGCTATGCTCTGCCTCCATGACTGGGAGGCAGCAGTGCTTCTGAATATCAATTGCTGGAAACCAGAGGGCCTCAAATCCTGCTCGCAGGTTTCCCTAGGGTCAGCCCATAGGAGCCAACTCCTAGGGGCTGAGATCGCTTCACACACACCCCAGTAAAATGTTTGAGGGGGCCGGTGCCCCCAAAGCTGATGGGCATTGCCATTCTAATGGTGTACGTGTGTTGGGCTTGTGATTGATTATGTTGGATGAGGCTTAACCTGGGCCACCCAATATTTTATTCAAGTTGGCACCCCTGGGTCAGCCACTGTGGGAACAAGACGCTGGACTAGATGATCCAGCAAGCTCTTCTTATGTCAACCACACACTTGCAGGCACTAATGTGTTGGGCAAGGGGCAGGGAAGGGCTACCCAGCTGCAGCCTGGAGCAACTGAGTGCTGAAGAGGACTTTGGCAACCTTAGAACCTGACTTCAATGTCCAGGAGAAGAAAGGGAAGCCCTTCCCCTGTTCCAGTGGTACCTCCTGTGGGTGGGTCATGCACTTTATGTGGAGCTCTCCTGGGATGGATCCAGATGCTGAAGCTGGTGCAGATTGCCCTGGCCAGGTTGTTGGATGGAGTACCTGGACTTTGGATGGAG